TCCAAATCAGATGCATATGAGAAGAAAGTAAAGTCATAACTTAATTCAGACAGTGCTATAATAATATCGGTATGTGAAGTGAAACCAAATATTTTGTCTTTGTAGTGATAAATTAGCTTCTAAGCTTTATCACAAAATGAGGGAAAAGAAGAGTTATTTTTGTAACTATAGTTTGTAAAGTACATTAATATAATTCATGGATTATAGGGATTTAATAACTGCTTCTCTGCCACAAAAATCTCCCAATAGTCCCAATAATCTCTATAACTAATTATTTAATTCTGCTTTTCAGTATAATTATTCTACCAATAAGTGATATTTCAAAAGTAAAGCAAAGTTGAACATATTTGTCTAATGATTATTTTAATTTCCATATAACAATTATTTGTGGCTAATCCTTCTAATTTGTACATATTGCTGAGAGATAATGTACTTTACAAAAATGAATAGAATAAAATTAACTCTCCTGGTGCTATAATGTCAAGTAAGTGAATTATTTCATAATGTTGTTTTTTGGGAACATATTGAAAACTGTGGAGCAAAGACAGTATGCAACTTTATACGATATCATATTCCAATGCATCTGTGAACAATTGCTTCACTGGTATGGTAACAAGTTAATTTGCAAAACCAAACCGTAGCATGAGATTTATGGTAACTGTAAAGCATAGTTTCAAAAATTAATTACTTTTATTATTATTTTATTTGTCATGATCAGGCATGGAACTACAGGAGGTGCAGCTGGTTTGACCTTATCAGAGCACTAGCAGGTAATGTAGCCCACCACCGAATGTCATGAGAATCAGAGTGCAGCTTCCATGGGGCCCTACCTATCAGTGCTCATACAGCTGGTAGTTCCTGCTGCACAAGAGAGTACAGGAGGACTAGGTCAATCAAAATACCAGAATCCTACTCAGGATCAAAAATTGTCTCAATCAACAAGTAATAGGTTAAAAAGTAAAACCTTTATTGAGGCAACATCATGATTATGGCTTAACAGAGGGAAGAATTGAATGCATTTCATATACAGGGCCAAACAGCTACTTGGCAACTTGTTCAAATACAGGATTCTAATATTAAAAAAAAAAAGTTATCCATTGAAACTTGAAGAAAAGTAATTTTCACATAATTTTGGTTCAACACCAAAAACAAATATGTCTTAAATGTTGAACTCCATTAATTTGAGTATTTTTTTCAATCTAGATTTCTTTGTAATTATATAATTAGGTAACCCGAAACTGACCGTTGTGATGCTTCTCACTCAAATCTATATTTCTAACCACTATTCTCAATAATACCCTAACCATTTATGTCCATATATGTTACCTCAAACCCCAATCCCAAACGTTAAGTGGCTTTTGTTATAATCTCTCACTGTGCTCAGTGGTTAATTCTGCTTTCATTCCTAATATTTCTAGCAACATTCCCCAACTATAACCTCTAACCCTACACCTTAACTCTTACTAAAAGTTAAACTACCCACCACTAATTGCCAAAGGAATTTGCAATGACAAATATACAAAGGTAATTTTTTCTCTGAGACTTGGAACTAAACTATGTTATACTGCGCAAGTGTATTCTCTAACTTTAAAGCCTTATGCTATTTTAAAATGAAACTGAAGTAATTTCGAATCATAAAACTTGACCATGATCTAGGAAAAAACAAAATAATTACGTCAACAACCTAAAATACCAGGACAAGTCAATATGTATATTATTGTTCTGCTCATTACATGTGGTGGGTATGTGTGATAGTTCAAATTCATTAACAAAGCAAATGACTAACAATCAGTTAAATAGAAATAGTTAAATACAAATATGGATTTTCAATGATCCATATTAAGACATGCATCCTATTCATTTAAAATAATATTATTACTTCATTAATTATACAACATTTATAGGTATGAACAAGTAATCTTTCACAGAAAACATTATTAATACAAATGTATGGGAAAATAAACTATTGGCTTGATTTAACAGTGTTTGTAGAGACCGGTTTATACTATTTCACAAATTATTACTTTCACTGCAGATTACAGACTTTTTACTAGCCCCACTTATGGATCACCATACTTGCAGTGGTCGACTTTTCCAAACTGTTAAATAATATAATGATCAAGTTACTGCTGTAAATATAACTAAGTATCTTCACTGACTGCAACCATAACAAAACTGTTAAAAAGCCATGTCTGGGCTCCAAGATATTGTTTTTCAATGTTATATTAAAGTAAAAGGACACCCCACTATTAATTCCCATACTTGAGTCTTGAGATAAATGAGATTTGGCTGTCCTAGCACACTGATTGCACTGACTGACAAGCCACCAAATCAAAGTACCCTAACTGAAGTTACATTGCAAAGGGAAGCAATTGATGGACCAAAAATGTATTATTTTTGTGTCTCTCTTTTTCTTGTTACAGTACTTTTTTTTTTTTTACTCTTTTACTCTTCTTTTTAACGTTTTCTTTGGACTTTGTGGTTTCTTAATTGGCCTTTTAGGGCTGAAGAATACAAGTTTGAAATGTGAAGAAAGCATACGTTTAATGGTAAGTATATATTTTTTTTACGGGCATTAGCTTAATTTGTCACCCTTCATATTAATATGGTGATGATGTTTATTTATTGGAAGGGATCTAGAGCATGTCTACCTCCTTCTATATTTAATTGCAATTCCCACCCAGTGCCATTAGAGCCTCCAATTTCTACAGATGGGTAGTAGCTAAGGGGATATTAGTCCTCCTCGGTTTATTACACAGAGCTCCCACCCATTGCTAATAGGTTACGGGCATTAGCTTAATTTGTCAGCCTTCATATTAATCTGGTGATCATGTTTATTTATTGGAAGGGATCTAGAGCAGTGTTTCCCAACCCAGTCCTCAAGGCACACCTACCAGTCCAGGATTTAGGGATTACCCAGTTGTGTCTAAGGTGTTTTTACAAAGAAGAAAAAAAACACCTTAGACACAACTGGGTAATCCCTAAATCCTGGACTGGTAGGTGTGCCTTGAGGACTGGGTTGGGAAACACTGATCTAGAGCATGTCTACCTCCTTCTATATTTAATTGCAATTCCCACCCAGTGCTATTAGAGCCTAGTAGATGAACCCAATAAATAGTGTCCCCTAGCCTAGGGTGTACTAGGCTAGGGGACACTATTTATTAGGTTCATCTACTAGAATTTCATATGGCATTAAATCCAGTCCATATTGGATAAAAATATCATCCAAAACCATTTTGTTAACCATTTCTTTCTGATAGAATGGAATCAATGCCTATATCCTACAACAAACAACAAACACCTTCCTCACTACTCCAATGAACTAGAGCTATATACAAATGAACAGACCTAAATCATGGTACCAATACATCCTATTCCTCAAAAAACAATTTATAAGGATTTAGCATCTATTATTAAATATTACTGAGTCCCAAAAGAATATGCTTCGATACAATGGTGAAGCTCTCTCTGACATTTGTAAATTAAATATGTGTTACCGCCTTACTGAATTTTTTGGCTTTGATGCATTCTGTTAATTTAAAATTAAACTGGAATATTTGAAAACCAGAAATTTGGACTGTGATCTAGGGTAAACCTCAATAGTTAAGTCAACAACTGAAAATATCTTACAGAAGTTGAAGTTCAAAGCCAGTATCCCTCCTTCCTATCTGAAGCAAAACCATGACAAGATATGTATATTATAGTTTAACTGATTACATGTGGTGAGCGTGTGTGATAGTTCAATTATATGTGAACAAAGCATGATACTAACAAATATATTGTCAACTGAATATCAACATGTATTTTCAATGTTTTGACAAATTAAAAAATGCCTCCTTGTCAGTTTAAATGTCACTACAAGTCTTAGTTTATGCTATATTTGCATATATTTATAAATAGAAACAAATACTTTTACATAAAAAAAACATTCTCAAAACCTGCTACAATAGTGGAAAATAAATATTGCCACTGAGTTTATAAGTTCTTGAGTTATGGCTAGTAAAATATCATGTAGGTGTATCAATAACTCAAGAGTCACTTGGTTCCTTTCTACTGTATGTACTAGATAAATGTACATATGTAATATTTTTTTCAGTAAAAAAATTCTACAGTATATTTTCTGAACATGTTTTATAGAGTCTCACATACATTTGAGGCACACTGTCATGTTGCTAGAAGGTTGTGAATGATTTCTGTAGAGAGGGTGCTTAGATAGCAGACAGCTTACCTTGTTTAGGAGAGGATGAATTAGTACTCTGCTTTGCCGCAGACTAATTAATTGCACATGGTACATAAATTCAACAGTTTTATTAAATGCAAAAAACAAACACAAAACAGACAAATACTTAATTTATAGGTGAATGTAAGAAAAAGAAACGCAAATGCCCTCTTGACTGATCAGTTATTTATTTAATGTTTTGCAAGCATTTCACAGTATATCATCAATTTACTTTAGCTGTTCCCCATTGGAACAATGATCTCATCTTCTTATGATTAAAAACTGGAAGCATTATAATTAACAGCTGAGTTTTGTTTTACATCAGTAAAATCTGTAGTTATACGCCCCACAACTTATTATATGGGCTGAAATTAATGGAGATTAGCTACCATGAAGTCATAAATTGCTATTTTAATTATATATTTAAGATATTTATTTATAACACATATATTGTATTCTTTATATTTTAATTGTATTCATATGAGTGAATGTACTATATGTGCAATGCATTTGTACTTGTTGTCTACACTATAGTGTTGCATTGAGAACCTATTGGGCCTGGTGCAGACATTTATAGACAGAAAACACTAAATTACACCTAAGTGTCCCTGCTGGAGGTGATGCTGGAGGGACACTTGTTGGATATATTTTAAGTTTATACTTGCCCTATGCAAACAGGGCTGGCTTAGTCATGAGGCAGCACAGGTGACCATCTTAGAATGTACCGGACCAAGTGGTGCATTGTCAGGGTGACAGGCAGGGAGGTGAGCACAACACAGTGCTCCCCTTTCTTCCAATCACATCTTGTAGTGTGGCCACGTGTGTCATGGCACGGGTGCATAATTCATTGTTGCACTATGAAATATTGTCATTTAAAGGACCACTATATTGCTCTATAGGGTCTTAGGATCCCACCCACCCTCAGGGTCCCATTCCCGCTGGGCTGAAGGGGGAGGAAGGGGATAAATGCTTACCATTCTCCAGCGCCAGGCTCCCTCGGTGCTGGGGACTTTCCTCCCTCTTCCGACATCATCCAACAAATGCGCATGCACGGCAAGAGCTGCGTGTGCATTCAATCAGTCCATAGGAAAGCATTTCTCAATGCTTTCCTATGGACGTAAGCGTCTTCTCACTGTGATTTTCACAGTGAGAAAAGTGGAATTGCCTCTAGCGGCTGTCAATGAGACAGCCACTAGAGGCTGGATTAGCCCTATTGTAAACATAGCAGTTTCTCTGAAACTGCTATGGTTACAGCTGCAGGGTTAACCCTAGATGGACCTCGCACCCAGACCACTTCATTGAGCTGAAGTGGTCTGGGTGCCTATAGTGGTCCTTTAATGTAATTTGTGTAGTGCATAGATACATTGGCTTCTTGGTAGAGCTGGTACTGTCAATTCCAAAAGGGGTTAATTTGATTGTATTGGAGGTCAGAAGGTTTACAACCTAAATTCCTCTTTGAAGCTGGGACCCCAACAGAGCTACTCTGTAAGGTGTGAGAAGTCACACATAAGTGGCCTGGAAATCTGGTTTAAATATAAACTTGCAGGAGTTGTACAACCTTACTCCTGAGGTGTACCAAAAGAAATTCAGGACTTTGCAGAAATGTCTCACAGAGTTACGCATCATTTGTGGGATGCCTGGCAACAGCATTCAGACTGTGGACTACAGGACTGGAGATTACCACTTTAAAAAGTTTGGACGATCTGTTAATAAAAGGACAGTTTTTGCAGCTCTGCCCAGCCGATGTATATGAATGGCTGCTAGACTGGAACACCAAAACAGCATTGGAAGCGGATAAGCTGGCAGACTTCCACACTGCCAACCGAGCAACAGTGAACCAGAGCAGAGGTTTTGCCAAGGGAGCATCCAGCTGGAAGATCACACCGCCACGACTTCCCATCACCAAGCCTAGTGGGTCTTCATTTGTTTCAGCTTCTACCCCAGGGAGAGGGGGAGCTAGTGCCACTTCTGCATATGGAGATAGCAGCAGATGCTTTATTTTCCATAAAATGGGGCCCCTACAAGGTTTCAGAAATTACATTAGTAATACCTGCTGTTATAGTCGTGACTTAAACATGAATATTAATTTAATAATTAATATATAATAATTAAGCAACAAATAACAACATTAATAGAGTTTGGTATTATGGTCGAATATATAATAGGAAATACACAAAACATTGTAGTATTAAATGTATATTTAATATAATTATAATAACAATTAAACAAATGCTAGCAGAATGTCAATTTACCACAATAATTACACAATACAAAACTACAACATTACTTACAAAAGGCTATAACAGTTGCTAGCTGTTATAATAGATTACTTACACGGCTCCAGCCTGTTTGGCTGGAGCTATACACACAGCTACATGTTCAATCAATGCAAGCAAAGGAAAAAGGAGGCTCAAAATCCTTACACTATTTGGTTTTATCTAGTAAGTAGGCTGGCCTGTGATGTCACTGCCAGAAGCACATGAGTTAGCACACTGACCCCTAGTGGTGCCTCTAAAGCATTAAGCTCATTATGCTTTTTTATGACAAAAAGTCATTAATTAATAAATACCATTACACCTGCCCAGAGAAAAGGAGGCCAGCCCCTGCATCTGGAGGGATTCACCCCATAGGAGCCCCATCTTCTGTGTTGTCTGTGACCAAGTCAGAGGGCAGCAACAATGTGAATCTACAAACTGTGACAGTTGGAAAGGAGGTAACTGTGGGACTCAGGGACAATGGGGCAAACGTGACTCTTGTGTGTCCAGAGCTAGTGCACTCTGAGGAGGTCATTCCTGGCAGGACTATAGCAGTTAAAGGAATTGGTGGAGTACGTCTTGTAGTGCAAATGGCACAAGTTTAATTTGATTAGGGAGCGGGGGAGAGTTTCAGAGATGTGGGGATAGATGAGAATATCCCTGCAAATGTATTACTTGGTACTGACTTAGGTAGATTGTTATCCCAGTATGTGCCTGAAAGTAATATGTGTTATCAACCCAAACCTCCACCTACTGTGGAGAGGGCAAACATGTGTCAATCTGTGCCAGAGCCAGGGGTAAAAACAACTTCACAGGGAGGTAGGGCAGGATGAGCATGTGCGCCTATCTGTGCCAGAGCCAGAGATGTTTGAGATGCCATGTGAAAACATAAGTGGATTAACACATTGGGAATCGGGGCAGGATAAGTTGGTATGTTCACCTGTACCTTAGCCTGGAGTAGGTCAGGGGCCAGATATAGGAGAGTTTGAGGGGTTTTGTGAGATTGTGAAAGAATGGCCTGGTTGGGAGAGGAAATTATGTGAGTGTGGGCAACATTCTGTGTCTGACCAAGGGGTCTCAAAGGTGTCATGTAAAAAGATAGAGGAAAAGCCTTCCAGGAAGGGGGTGCTGAATTATTATATGTGCCAAAATGTGCCTGAAGCAAATGTATCTGATGTACTATGGAAAAATGTAGAGAGACAGCATGGCTGGGAGGGAGAGCAGAGTGTGTGTGAGCCTTACTCTGCACCAGACTCAGCCATTCTCTGTCTCATCTTTTGTGTGCTTACCGGGGAGTTTTGCAGAAATCTGTTCATTTCTTCCCCTTAGGGCTACTACATGGGCACAGTGGCTGTGGCCCAAGGGATGTGACCAGAGAGCAGTGGGAAATGGAAGCAGGCTGTGACGAGACAAATCTCGCCACATTGCATTGGAGAAGCCTGGTTGCTCGCCTGTTGCCTTTGGATTATGGCTCCATGTTAAAAGGCTTGATTTTCCCCTGCAAAGACATGAAAGCCGGGTCATTTGGTGCTTGCCCTGTTTGAGCGGTGATACCCCAGATAGCTATGCCATGGAGCCCATTCGTATAATGAAAGACTATGGGAAAGACTTTGGCTCCATGGCAATTGAACTGTATGTGTGTGTTCTGAACGCCATTCAGTAATAATGTGCGCTCAGATCTGAGCTATCTGGGGATATGTTGAATGTACCTGTTTTGTGCAATGGCTCACACGGATATATGTTTTTATGTGTTTTATTGTCTTTTGCTGCCATGTGTTCAATGGAGTTTTGTCTCTGTCCCTGGAAATAATTGGATTACTTCCCAATTATCTCCAGGATAGAAAATTCTGTGGAACTGGTTTTGGGCAGAAAAGCCATGCTTCCTTTGGTCACAAAGGACTATGATCTATCTTGTGAACCACTGGACCAATTTGTATGATTTTGACCTATGTTTGTATTTGGAGTATGCTGATTCTGAAAATGTAAGTTATATGTGAATGTGATGCATACTTTTCAAGTTATGAATAATGTGGAAAAATTATATTTCTCTGCTTGTTATAATTACATTACCCATTGTGTAAGGTAATTGTATCACAGGCAGAGGGGAGGATTTTGTGTGGGAGTGTCTGAGTGTATTGTATGTGTTTACTGGTTGTGTTCCAAAACCCTGTGGGTGGTACTAATGTGTAAGAATGTGTACATAAGAACAATAAACCCACAGCTCTGTCTGTTCACTGCTTGACCCTCAACACGGAGCTTTGTCTCGTTCTTGGGGGGATTTATTGTATGCTGTTCCAATTCGACTGCTAGGAGTGTAAACTTATTTGTATGTTTTTTCCTATTCGTCTGTTTACGGCATTCATGTGGTTTCCTGTTCGGCAGATTGGTGTTCTGCAGTAGCTGTGCCTGTGTCTCTGGAAGGTAAGATCTACTAAACGGCGGTTAACCCTTTTATGACTGGGGGTGCCGTTACACAGGCAAATCAGGCATGTTTGTTGTAGATATGCCTGTGATAAGCTTAGGGACTAAATGCAAGCCTTTTGGGGGAGGTGTGCGAACCCATGAGGGCAACCCCATTCATGCATAAAAAAAGATTAGTGTATGGTGTGGAGGCAAAAAAGTGTTGAAATGCAAGGTAGAGGTATGAGAGCCTTCTCCCATTGCGTCTCTTATTTAGGGGAGGTATCATGGCAAGGGTGCATAATTCATTGTTGCACTATAGAATATTGTCATTGAATGCAATTTGTGCAGTGCATAGATGAACTTGGTAGAGCTGCTTGATAGAGGTGGTATTGTCAATTCCAAAAGGGGTTAATTTGATTGTATGAGAGGTCAGAAGGTTTACAGCCTAAATTCCTCTTGAAAGCTGGGACCCCAACAGAGCTGCTCTGTAAGGTGTGAGAAGTCACACATAAGTGGCCAGGAAGTCTAGTTTAAATATAAACTAACTCTCTAAATTGCCATATGTCTATATTCCCTCTTAGATAGAGAGTTCATTGATATGAATGGTAATTAGCTTTCAAGAAAAAACCCTGGTGTTCCAGTATCATATCCAAAATAAACATTAATACTTACCCACAGATAAATAATTAAGCCTTGTTTTTATTATATTTAAAATGGGAAAAGCAGAATAGAAACATAGAAACATAGAAACATAGAATGTGACGGCAGATAAGAACCATTCGGCCCATCTAGTCTCTAATCTCCTAATCAAGCCTAAACATGATTGGCATAACTTAACCAAGTGGGAAGGGATTGTGATATCTGCTTTATTGGGTCACAAGTAAGAAGTGTGACATATCTATGGAATGGAAAAATGGTAACAAATTTATAGAGGCAATTATTATTTCTGTTGCAAGTACATAAGAGGAGATAAAACAAAAATGTTTCCATTTGGATTGATGTTGGTCTGGAACACAAGGGGGTAGTCACTTATTGTCTCTATAGGTACTCCTTATGTCCACCTTTGGGCTAGACTTGGTAATCCACCGTGTATATATCTAATGATACTGAAATGTGTATTGTACTTGCTTGGGGCCAAAATTTAATTTTGAGTGAGTCACCATCGTCCTTGCCTGAGACCCCCTGGGCAGAAGTTTTACTTTGAAAACCTGAGTAAGTGATTAGGACTTCTGTTATTTTATCCTTTTTGTTTTTATCTGTTTTTGGTGTAAATAATTTGTTTATCATCAATTTTTTGTATGCACTGTGACAAAAAAATAGTTTGCTCATAATAAAGATTCCTTTATTAAGTTCTGCCTTTGTTTGGTTAAGAATCATGTTACCTGAAGAGACTAAGTAATGAGTGTTTTGCAATTGCATAGGTATTGTGCTAAGTTGTATTTGGTGGGTTTTTATAACTAAGTTACCTGGGAGACCAAGACACCCCATTTATAAATTGTCTGGGTGGTGGCAGCATTAAAATAGTAATATTTATATTATTGTGCTTAAGTTTGGTTGGAGTTAAGGGGGATTTTATCATTATTTCTAGTGCAGACAAATAGTGAATTTTAACCCTTTCACCACCACAACTATGTCATGCACACTCTTATAGTAGGGTGCATTTGTGACAGCGTGGACCACGGTAGATGATCGCCTGTATCCTGTACCCGTTTTGAAGTGCTTGCTGACAGCAATGAACAACTTTCTATCAGACCGGGTAGAGGATACAGAAGATCATCTACTGATGTCCTCGCAGTCATGCCACAAAATGTTTTGTAGGCAAAAGAGGGGAGAGAGGGGAAGGGGGTACAAGAAATAGAGACACAAATGAGCTGGGTAAGAGACTCACAAGCAAGAAAATGGAGGATTAGATACACTAAAGTTGTATGACACAAAATGACATAAGAAATTCAAGAGAGGGGTTAAGAAAAACAAAAGGTAGTAAGAAATTCATAATTGGGGTTAAAAGACACACAGGTCAAGATGTGACAAATGGGGGGTGACAAATGCATCTTTGTCTTTGTAGCCAAAGATCTTTGGAGTGGCCCTGTATGTCAGTCTCTGTCTTCAATCTCTCAATGCAGACTGTCTATCCGTTTTACAAGCTGCATGATGAGAGAAGGATCTTGGCTTACTGGAGAAATAGAAGCAGCAAGAGCATCTGCACAGTGCGCAAAGTAAGCTTTAAGTTAACTATTTGATAGCCACCAGTCCACAAAAGTTTTACTATCCTGCATCCCTCCTGAGTTCCCACCCATTATTCCCTCTGCACACGTTTAGAGCAAGAGCATGTGAGTAATGAGGGTGAAACCCCTGCCTTTTTTTTTCAATGTGCCTATTTCATGGACATAGGCCCTATGTTAATCCAGCCCTGAATTTTTAAATTTATTTATTTGAGAAAAGTATCTATAAAAAGTTATGTAAATGATGATGTTTCATACATCTTTAATAATTACCCCCAAGTTTGCAAGAATTTCAGGGGGGAAATCTTTTGTTTCAGCTGAACTGGAACTTGACAAAAAAATATTGAGTTCATAGAGCTGAAAACACAATAACCATTCGGTCTTTTTATAACTGCATACCAAGATATCCATAACATATTAATATGTTGTAGGACAAGACTAATGCAAGTTATTGACTCTGGTGATGCAGTAAATTCGACTGCACCACAAATTCATTTCAGAAAACATAAAACATTACAATTCATTATTTGTTCCGCGATGCTATAATAGTGGCCATCATTGTGATATGTTAACCCATAAAGCTATAAATTACATTTTAATGCTCCATGCATCTGACACTAGGTGGATGGGTAACAATCCATATATGAGGCTCCCTCTCTCCTTTAAAGACAAATTCAGTGACATCTACTGACTGATTAGGTATGACAATCACTCAACTGTTATAGCTTCAGTTTTCAGCCACCAAGATAGTGCATAGGTCAACTCAAAGCCTAAAAATTGTGTTTTGCATTCTTTCAGAAGTTTTTTAACCTTTTTGATTTTTAATAATCTTTTACCTTATTGATAATCTATTTTGTTTTTCCTCTTTTTGTTTTTATCCCTATTTGGTATACATCTAAATTCGATTGAAGATAATTATCTGAAAGAAACATCAATGTTAATATCAAATGCTATTCCTTTTGACAAAAAAACAATATGAGAACTCTGAGAACATGCAAAAGCATAGATAAATCTCTATAGCCTGCCTTTCAGTCAGTAATCTCAAAAATGTTTTTGCTTGTTTGTACCATTACAGAGAGAACGTATGACATTTGCATATACAACTGATCCTGGGTATAAGGGCAGTTCAGATTCGAAATGCTGGTGTCCTCCCTCTGTGTGAGAGATACAGCAACCCTGGATGATCATTTAGGATTCCCTTGGGTCTCATCTGCAAGGTGAAGCTGACACTACTCTAGATACAGTGAGCACAAGGTCCACATCTGTATTACCTTTATTTTTAAATTAGGGAGAGCCTAAGTAAATGCATTGCAACAAAAAAAGAGAATATGAGAACACTGAGGTAAAAACAGATAAAAGTTCAGAGAACTCTCTGGTTATTCCTTGCTCAGGTCTCAAAAATGTTTTTGCTCAGTTGTGCTATTACAGAGAGAACCTCTGTAGTACCATATGCATAAATGATTGATCCCACCTATACTGACAGGACAGACTAAAATGTCATCAAGTCCCCCCTGCACCAGAAATACAGCAACCCTTGATGATTATTTTAACTTTGTTTGGGCCTTGTCAGTAAGGTAGCTGACACCCCTCTCGGCACATTGAGCCCAGGACCATATCTGGATTACACGTTTAAGTATAAAATTCTAAGTGAATGTATTGCAATAGAAACAAAGAATATAACAACTATTCCTTTTCAGTTAGCTCCTGTGTTAACTCTTCAAGTGAACACCATGGAACCTCTGTTTGTAAGGGCTTGCTAATTCTTTGTTATAGGATTTCTCATGGACAGCAACATTGCATCAAAAGCCCCACCAGATCATATCACACTTTTCCCTAGTCCCGAGGTCTTTAATAATTTTCTAAAACTGTCTCACTTTAGGAAAACGTATTAACTTCCTGGGGAATTAAATTCTTTACATAGCCTGATTGTTTCTTTATACATAACTAATGTCATTTTACAAAAACATAGTAATCAATGCAATTGGTGTGGTTCTGTGCTTGGAAGGAAGAATAAACACATTTTAACTGCAGTACTATGCATCCGTCTATAAAATCCACAGTGAATCCAGAGTGAAAAGGTGACGTGTTTATGAAAATTTCAAATAAAATAAGTTACTACAAAGGTTCCAGAAAATGGTGATAAATAAATGGATCAATGTACCCCATATGAGATTTCTGTGGTTTTCTACTTTTAAAAATGTAATGCCTTCATGGCCTTTATCAAGTGTGTGGGCTAATAAACTGAAATGTGACAAACTACAATTGGATCAATTTACCCTATGATTTTACAAAACCTTGGCAAAACTATACCAATGTGGACATGGGCGTCCGGAGGGGTGGACAAGGGGGGGGTGCTTGCAGCCCCTGAAAATTTCAGTTTGCCCTTTTTCCCCCACAGGTACCCATGCAGGATAACCTGAAGTGGGTACTTTTTTAATAACTTAAAAAAAAAAAAAAAAAAGACTGCACTTACAGTTTGTGCTCAGCCACACTCCACATGACTCCCGAGAGTGGGATGCAATAGAGAGCAGGTGGCAACAAACTGAGCTGAGCTCTATGGTAGGACTACCAGTCTCAAGCCACTCAGCCACACTTCACCAGAGCAGGTAGGGAGAGAATTACTATACAATTGGGAATTAATAGACAGGGAGAATATATGGAGAAAGGGACAGAATGAGGGGTGGGAGAGGGGGGATATGGAGAAATATGAAGGTGGGTGTAGGGAGTTATTAGAAAATGGACACGGAGAATATGAAGAAAGGTTTAGGTGTGTATGGAGGGGATATGAGAGAAGGGGCACAAGTTGGGTGGGGGGATATGAAGAAAGTTGAAGGTGTGTATGAAAGGGGATATGAGAGAAGGGGGCACAAGTTGGGTGGGGAGATATGAAGAAAATTGAAGGTGTGTGGAGAGGTGATATAAGAAAAGGGGCAGAAGTTGGGGGGGACACAAAATATTTTTTTTCTTTTCTTTATTATTATTTTTAGTAGGAGTAGTACTGGCATTTATAAGGTGTGGGAAATGTTGTAGGTGCAATCTGGTACTGTTGGTACTTTTTGGTGCTGTGAGTGTCTCATAGTTCTGTAGGAACCCCTGTGTATGCTACCTTCTGATGTGGCAATAGCTTTGTGTGCAATCTGGGACTGTGGCAAGTGAAATCTGGTACTGTGGTGCAATCTGGTGCTGTGAAATGAAAAGTGCTTTGGGTGCAATCTGGTGCTGTGCATGCCACCTATTGCTGTGGCCAAATGTAACGTGAAATGTAGATTACACATTTTTATTTTTTTTAATTCAGTGATAGTGCCTTGATTATGGGTGTACTAATAGGGTTCATTGAGTAGTGTTAATATTAAAACAGATTAGACATTGCAATACTTAAATCAGACAATATCAACTTAATTATTCTAATAAGATTTTGTATCAGGTTTCTTAATGCTTTGAATGCTTGCGCTTCATGTGATAATGACTATGCTCCTCCCCTTAATGACACTCTCAAAATGGGGCCAAGCATGAATGCCCATGAGTGTGAACATTACTATATTTAAAATGTAGCAGACTTATGGTCAAACTGCTTGAAAAGTTGAGAAATGCTTGTAGGTAAATACACATTGGGTGCTTGATCTTTAAAATCTCAAATTATTATTTTAAAAATGTGGTTCCTTCATCGATATTAAAATTAAAACTCAATCAAAACAGATTTAGATTTTTTTTTTTTAGTTAGATGAAATAGTTATGTGTGGTTATAATAAAAAAAAAGTTTACTTTTCACCATATTAAAGGGACACTATAGTTACCAGAACCACTACAGCTTAATGTAGTGGTTCTGGTGTCTATATCTACAGGCTCTGAGAAAATACACTCATTCATTCAGACAATACCTTGAGGGACTTCCTGTGTGAGGGACCACAACATTTGCAGGACCTCTGTTCAGGGTGGGTACTTGCTACACTCCATTACAAGAAAGGAGCAAGCTGAGCAGCCTTCCATGAAACATTATATTCCCACCAAAATCTATTAATTTAGAAAATCACTCACTGGTAACTTGACCTCTTGAATATGGGTTATGTAGGTCTCCTGAGCCTATGCAAGTAAGCAGCCTAATCAATTTTCTTTTTCTCAGCCCACAATGGTTGGATTACTAATTTACCATAATTACCTATTTAGATATCTATTAAATATATAAACTTCCTAATTTCACAATTCATGGGACAAGGATGTAATGATACATTTCTACTCCCTATGTAATACTATTTGTGTTTTCATCTAATGTAACAATACATCCTCATATTGGGGGGTGGGGAAATATAAGAATGTGATAAAAGTATAAAAAAGATTGTGTTGTGTCCTTTAATCATCATCAGTATGTTAGTGTTTATAAACTGGGCTTTGTCACTGTACAAAGCTGTTGATTTCCTCTCTCCTTTTTGCTTTTTTGCCAACTTGGGAGAAACCAAATAAATCTTGCCAACATTCTTCAATCTCCAAAAGTGTCTTGTCTTTCTTTCATCTTCTGCCATCTTTGCTCCAACTGACCATTCACACATGAGAAAATTGGCAGTGTTTTCAGGCATCTGGAATCCAGAACTCTTCTTGTGTGTAGTACTGGTTAATATTCCATTTCACTGGAATTATTATCAAAATATTAAGATAAGTGTAGTTAAAGACTATTTGTATTATTATTATTATTATTATTTTTCTTTTTATTTGAACAAGTATTGATTTGTTAATTATTGCAATTGCCAATCCAATTTACATGTAAATATTCTTGATATAACCAACTCATTAACACACAGCTCAATAAAACAGCTGTACATTTATGTCATTTTGTGTGCCATCTATTTTCCTTTTAAGAAAACTTATAAAGGTTTCTAATTTTCTGGTGTTTTTTTTTTTTAACGTGGGCATCCATTACTACTGAATTAGTTAAGTCTCAAACAAGTTATATGAGTGCCCATTTATGGAGACAAGTATGATATCACAGGGCTTTCAGAAATTCTTTAAGAAGATTTAAGTTTACGTCTTTGTCCGATGCTTGGCTTCTAGTAAAGAGCATTGATGCCAGCTGACTGCATACATCAGTCTTCAATTGACCTGGAATTTTTTTATATTTTTTTTACAAAAATATTTTATTAAAAAGGTTTTTGAAAGCATTTTATGAGTAAGCCCTGAAGTTGTAAATGGTACTTAACAACAAAATGCTTTTCATACCTAATTACATGTCCTAACATAATTAACTTGTCAATGCTATAAACATTCTACATTGGTTTGTTAAAAATGTGTTGCCTAGGCACTGGTGCTGAATAGTTGTGCAATAAACATGTGCATTGGTTTATGGACTTCACTCATTTTGCCCAAACATTTATACAAAAACACTGTATATATGAATGTCTGAATGAACAAATGGTTCACTGTACAAATTTTGTTCATCGCCATTTGTTCATAGCACGTGGGGCACTGCAAAAAAATATAGTGCAAGCAACTATTTCTTTCAAAAGTTTTCTAACCAATCCTGTGAACCTGTAACTGCAGCTGATTCCCCTATTTACCACCATAACGTCTTAAAGCATAGAACTAACCATATAGATATCTTAGCCATAATATTGTATAGTTATTAAGAGATCTTCTATTTAAAATATATAAATAATTGAGAATTCAATATAAAATAAGGATTGTCTTGGAAGCAATAAAGTTTTGTCTTTTGAGATATTTATTATATAAAAATATAAATATAGACATATAAAATCCATTACAATAATTTATAGCAGAGTTTATAAAATTAAACTAGATGCTTGCAAATATAATTTTAAATAGAATAACATACCCTCTTGAACATGTCAACATCTCTCAGTCATTATATGGAGCGACAGTGTCTGTCTCCAAATCTCTCCTCTGTCTCTTAACATGTAAAAAGTATATATTTATATCTTCATTTTAGGACCTCCCTTAACTTGGCAAAGATACAAGGCCATAACTAAAACATAAGTGCACATGTCATGGGAAATTCCCGGATTTAAGGAATTTCCACTAATTTGAGACAAGATGGCGTCTTAAAGTCTGAACATCTTATCTATTGTTTATACTAAAACGTAAGTGCAAACATCATGGGAAATTCACGGATTTAGGGAAGTTCCACTAACTTGGGACAAGATGGCTTTCTAAAGTCTGAACATTTAATTCACTGAATATGGGTAAAAGGTAATTCATTAAAGAAACATTGTATGAAAAACAATATGTTCCATTTCTAACACCTTGTCAGTTTGCAATATCACTTATAGACATGGTACACAGTTTAACAAATACAACATTTCATTCTAAAACTTGGAATATTTGCATTTGCCCATAACAAACCAATCTTCATGCAATGGCTTTTTTATAATGAATGTATGTTTTGTCAGCCGATCAATGTCTAGTTCTTGCACATTTAGACCAATCTTGAACCTTCAAGAGATGCCAGTTTTAATTTTTTTTTATTTCTTGGTGCTTGAACACCAAGACAATGAGCTAACATTATGCTGATTGTTAACCCCTTAAGGACCAAACTTCTGGAATAAAAGGGAATCATGACATGTCACACATCTCATGTGTCCTTAAGGAGTTAAACTGTGTTCTGTTTCTTCCAACAAAAATTGAGCTAGCTAGTGGAAATATTTATTTCCATTATTTTTAACCAATGCAGATTATTTCTCTCTAACATTTTCATTTAGTCATTTTATTTGGGATTTTGTTTGTGGATTTTTTTTCCATAGTAGAATAAACATAGTTACATGCTGAATAAACATGCTAAAAAAAGACTTATGTCTGTTCACATATCCATACGCCGTTCACATATACATTCAGGACAAACCGTTTTCAATATGAGAACAAAATTCAGATGATCTGCAATGGGAAATATATTCGGAAAGAATAAACAAATTAAAACAAATTTATTTTCTTTGCAAGTCTTAATCTCCTACCAGTTCAAAGTTAGTATTTTACATTTTGACGCAACCAGATTCTACATATAAATAATCATAAAAAGGATAACCTTTCTCTTTTTTTTTATTTAACAATTTTAGCCCTTTAGCAGTCAAGTTACA